GTTGCTAGGACTCCTGGGTCCCCAGCACTGAGCTTGCAAGGGGCTGCCTGTGTCCTGGACTCAGGGTGCTGGAAGGGGGGTGGGTAATTTGCTGCCCCTGCAGGGAGAGCCCAGGGGAAACTCAGTCCAGCCATCCAGTTCACTGAGCCAGGCCAAGGGAGTCTTTACCCCCCCCCCCAGGAAATTCCAGCTGTTATAGGGGGCTGGGCAGGGGGCGCTCTTCCCTGGCAGTCAGGGCTGGGCGCCGGGGGGTGCTGTGCTGTGGGGAGTGGGGTGTAATCCCCCGGCAGTCAGGGTCAGGTCCCGGGGGGCTCAGTAGGGGGCGCTCTGACTCTCCCCTCCCCCTGCAGAGGCTGTGATAACTGCAACGAGTGGTTCCATGGCAACTGTATCAACATCACCGAGAAGATGGCGAAGGCCATTCGGGAATGGTACTGTTTGCAGTGCCGAGGTGAGGAACGGGGCGGGGAGCCCGGACTCCTGGGTTCTCTCCCGGGTGGGGGGTGGGGCTGTCTCCTTGGTATTTCTGGCGGTGATGTGCTTTCCTCTCCCCACTGCAGATAAGAACCCCCATTTGGAGATCCGATACCGGCACAAGAAATCCAGAGAGAAGGAGCGGGAGGGCGAGCGGGACCGGGACCGGGCGGAGAAGGACGAGCTGAGGAAGAAGGCCCAGGGGCTGGCCCTGGACCAGAGCCGTGGGTCGAAAGTAGGTGGCCAGGTGAGTGCGTTCTGGGGGGCAGGGCGCAGGATTCTATCCCATGAGCCCGTGGGCCGCGTTGCCAGGGAGCCAAGCTGCAGGGTTCCAAGAGCGGCTCCACGTGCCAGCCGGGCCCTGACGGTTCCAGTCGCTGCTGTTCCCCGTTCCTGCCCAGGGAGGGCGTGCTTTTGATCCTCCCTCTCATTCCTGACGCTCCCCGTGGGCAGAGTTAAGGGTAAACACCCTGGAATCTAGTTTGATACCCCTGAATCCCCGGGCAGATAGTTCTGACTGAGTTGCCATGTGGCGTTATGTGCAGCTGTTCCCCAGCCGCCCCTCCCCAGAGGTGGCTGCATCTTGGCACCAGGCGAGCCATCCCATTTTGAGTGGCAGCACTCCCCTCCCGTCAGTTGTGCCTGGAGATTTTGAAAGCGACCTGACGGTTTCCTTTCCATTCTTACTCCATATTTCTGGAGCATGGGGCAGTTGGGTGAGACCAATGGGCACGGGGTGAATTGCCGACTGTACCTTATTGGCTGTGGCAGCACTACAAATGCAGATGTGCTAACTCGTCTGCCTCTTCGCTCGGGAAGTGTTCTCCCTGCCTCGTAAATCCACCCGGAGGCTGTGACATTTTCTCCTTGCGACCAGCCTTGGTTACCTTCAGAATAGACTGTCGTGCCCTCTGTGCAGCCCAGCCCGCCCCCGGTGCATCTCCGCCTTTCCGAGCTAGGGGAGATGACATCCCTGTAAAAACTTCTGACCCCGTCCGCTCTCCAGTGCTGCAGCTGGACGGGAGAATGAAGGATTCCCAGTTTCCCCGAGATAAATGCCACCCGTGGGCTTATGCTGTAAGTGCCCTCAAACGGCTACTCCCGGCGCATCTTGCGGTCTTCCCCCCCTCCCCCCCCGATCTCGGTGCCCGTGATCGGTTTGTTGGATGCCAGGTGGAGCGTCAAGTCTTCAGTTAGGATCTTATAAATCCCCGAACACTGCAACCAGCGGAGAAATAAGGGAGAGGGCTGAGGGTGTGGGGTCTTCGGGGAGGAGAGGGGAAGTAGGAGGAGAGGGCTTTTTTTTTGTGTGGGAGGGTGGCTGAGCGCGGGATAGGTGCCTCTTTAAGGGTGCTCCAGCGGGCAAATCAGCTGAGATGAGTCTAGAGCCATCTCCAAGCCGTAAGCTCGGTGCGGAGTCAAACCTGCAGGAGAGCCGGGCTGGTCACAACAGCAGCAAATGTGTTGTGAGTTTTTTTTTTTCAAAAAAAACCCGCATCCTAGTCCCTTTTCTGGCTTATTAGGGCCCAAAAATTGGATGCAGCTCTGGGAACTTTGCTACTAGCTGGGGCTGGAATTAATCCGTGAAACGCACCGTGATTTTCTTCTGCTGTGGCAGCCCAAATCTAGCAGATGGCACGAGGAACAGAAGGGAACCGGGCCTGTTAAGCAACAGATTCCACCGCAAAGAAAGTGAATGAAGCTTGCTAGGAATGAACCGCTACATTTTAAACGGGGGCTTGGCTTAGACGCACCCTTTACGCCCACAGTTATTTCTGGGCATGCCGGATAAAATGCAGACCTCCAAGTTGTGGATTTGTGGGTGCAAACAGCTAGACTTGATTAAAAAGTATCCACATGTTTTGGGTGTGGAGGGTAGGTTGTTGCAGTCCTTAGCAATATTTAAAGGGATGGTTGTGATGCCAAACAGATTAAAATTCTTAAAGGGTACAAAGGAATGTTTCCAGATTACAGGGGTGTTTCCCTTTACCAGCCAACTTCAGCTTTGGACTGAGGGGCACATGCTAAATTGCCTCTTTGCAAGGAAGAATCTAAAGGGGCTGGGGATGTTTTAGGAGAGAGACTGAGAGGAAGGTAGAAATCTCAAACCTGGCTTGTTTGATAGATCTCACCACGAGGCAAGAGCAAGTCAGATTTGAAGGCAGTGGATGGAGTGATAATTTCAAAGATGTGAGAGTAAAAATGGTCTCTCTTTCTCCTGCCCCAGTTAAGGACGCCCTCAGTTAAGGACGCCCCTGGTTAAGGATGACTTAAGGATGACTTCCCCATCTTTCTACAATGTTCAAACTTGTCATTCTTACAGTTCTCTCATCCGCAACAGCAGATCAAGCGCTCGGCACGGATGTGTGGGGAGTGCGAGGCGTGCCGGCGGACAGAGGACTGCGGCCAGTGTGACTTCTGCCGCGACATGAAGAAATTCGGAGGGCCCAATAAAATCCGTCAGAAGTGCCGTCTGCGGCAGTGCCAGGTCCGGGCACGGGTGAGTACTGAAGCATTCACTTCCTGTCCCTAAACACCTGTGTTCTCCGTCTGGAGGCTATTACCCAGCTGCCCCGCTCCAGAGGTGGCCGCATGTCATCTGAGCTGCTTACCAGAGTGTTTCTTTTCTTTCTAGGAATCATATAAGTATTTCCCAGCCTCGGTAAGTTGGCTCCATCCTTTCTGGGCCCATTTCCCTGCAGGATTCCTGGGTTCTCTCCCTAGGTCCGGGAGGGGAGAGGGGGCTAGTGGGTAGAGCAGGGGAGTGGCTGGGAGCCAGGACTCCTGGGTTCTCTCCCCAGCTCTGGGAGGAGAGTGGGGTCTAGTGGGGAAAGGGGAATGGGAGTCAGGGCCTATTCCCAGCTTTTGCAGTTTGATCATGGACTGGTCTCTTCCCCTCGTTGTGCCTCAGTTTCCCTGTCTGTGTCTGGGGCAGCCACAGGGGAGGGGGTAGGTCTGAGGTGTCAGGCAGCAAGTGTTTAACCCCCTCTTGGCAGATGCTGCGAGGGCGGGACGAGGACCTGCAGATGCTGAAAGAGCAGTTGGAATCGTCCGCCACCCCCGAGCCGTTGTCGGACGACGACCTCCCGATTGACCCCGACTTGTACCAAGATTTCTGTGCCGGAGCCTTCGACGACCAGAACCTGGTGAGGGCCCCACCCAACCTGGGGATCCCACGTGCGGCAGGGCCCCGGGAGAACCCAGGCGCCATGTGTCCAGATAGAGCATTCTCCAAATCGTTTTACTCTGCGGCTGTTCCTCAGCTGGCCCACCCCAGAGGTGGCTGCATCTCAATGCAGGGTGTCCCATCCCTGAACGTTCAGCCTCTGGGCCGTTTTTCCTAGTTCAGGTCCTTGGACATGTGGGGGGATCCCTGGACAAGAGCCTGGGTTGAGCGTCATTGAGGGCTCCGAAGGCCTCTGTAGCCCGCTTGGGAAGAGCAGAGCGGTCTCTAGAGTATGTGGCCTCTCAAGCTCACTCAGGGGGTGCTGGTCTCATCCTTGTCTCCTCTTCTGCCACCCCCCACCCCTCCCCCAGCCATGGCTCAGTGACCCAGAGGATGCCCCGTTCCTGGACCCCGTGCTCCGCAAACGCGCCGTGAAGGTCAAGCACGTCAAGAGGCGGGAGAAGAAATCGGAGAAGAAGGTAGGAGCCAATTGCAGCCGCCACAGAGGCTTTCCCCAGTCGTGGGGTGTATCCCGGCTCTGGGACGGCAATGGGGGCTAGTGGTTAGAGCGGGGTGGGGAGGGGCTAGGAGCCAGGACTCCTGGGTTCTCTCCCTGGCACTGGGAGGGGAGTGGGGTCTAGTGGTTAGAGGTGGGGGAGGGGCTGGGAACCAGAACTCCTGGGTTCTCTCCCCAGCTCTGGGACGGGAGTGGGGGCTCGTGGTTAGAGCAGGGGGGGCTGGGAGCCAGGACTCCTGGGTTCTCTCCCTGGCACTGGGAGGGAAGTGGGCTCTAGGGGTTAGAGCAGGGGGGGCTGGTCACGGAGGGGCCCCTGACGGGAGGTGGAAAGGGGGAGATGGCCCTGGGGGGCCACAGGGCGCTGACGTGGTCTCTCCCCCCCCCCCCCCCCCCCCGCAGAAGGAGGAGAAGTACAAGCGTCACAAGCAGAAGCAGAAGCACCGAGACCGGTCGCGGCACGCTGAGCGGCCGGACGCCAAGGACCCGACCTCCCTGCACCAGTGCCTGGGCCCCGGCTGCATCCAGCCGGCCCGCGCCGCCTCCAAGTACTGCTCCGAGGAGTGCGGCATGAAGCTGGCTGCCAAGTAAGGGCCCCGGCCTGACCCCTGCCTGGGGATGCAGCCCCGACCCCAGGGACCTCCTAGCTCTGGGAATCCCCGGGCCCCGGCAGGGGTCCCCCATGGCGTTGGCACCATCCCAGTCACCCGAATGAGACCCCCGGGACCCCCCCAGCCCCATATCCCCCCTGGATGAGACCCATGCCTCCCCCAGCCCCATGTCTGTTCCCCCCGTCCCAGATCAGAGCCACAGGGGCCCCCGAGCCCGTATCCCCACCCAGCCCGGATCAGACCCATAGGGGCCCCCCAGCCCAGTATCCCCCCCCATCAGACCCACAGGGTCCCCCCCCCAGCCCCATGTGTCCATCCCCCTTCCCCTCCCCATCAGACTCTCAGGGGCCCCCCACCCCAGATCAGACCCCCAGGGTACACCCCAGCCCCATATCCTCCCCCTTGGATTAGACCCATGTGGCCCCCAGACCAGTATCCCCCCCCGCAGGTCAGTCTGTCTCTCTCTCCCCACCCAGCCGGATCTACGAGATCCTTCCGCAGCGCATCCAGCAGTGGCAGCAGAGCCCGTGCGTGGCGGAGGAGCACGGCAAGAAGTTGCTGGAACGGATCCGGCGGGAGCAGCAGCAGGCGCGGCTGCGGCTGCAGGAGATGGAGCGGCGCTTCCACGAGTTGGAGGCCATCATCGGCAAGGCCAAGCAGCAAGCCATCAAGGAGGATGAGGAGGTGGGCGGGCCCGGACGCCTGGGTTCCATCTCTGGCTCTTGGAGGAGTGGGGGGGGGGGGGTCTGGTGGGTTAGAGCGGGGCGAGGGGGCTGGGAGCCTGGACTCCTGGGTTCTCTCCCCAGCTGTCCTGTGCTCAGGGATCCCCCGATGGGGCTGCACTAACAGGGCCCTCCCTGCTCTCTCCCCACAGACTAACGAGGGAGACAGCGACGACACCGACCTGCAGATCTTCTGCGTCTCCTGCGGGCACCCCATCAACCCCAAGGTGGCACTGCGCCACATGGAACGTTGCTACGCCAAGGTACGCTGCCCTGCCCCATGGGGCCCGGGAAACGCAGACTCTCCCCTTGTCCCTGCTCCGCTCCGCCCCAGAGGTGGCTGCATCTGCCGGCCGTGCGGCGTTATGTCTTGTCCCTGTCCCCTTCCCGGTGCACTGACGAGCCCTGTGTTCTCCCTTTCCCCGCAGTACGAGAGCCAGACGTCCTTCGGATCCATGTACCCAACCCGCATAGAGGGGTGAGTCCCAGCCCTGTGGGGGGCGCTCTCCAAATTCCTCCCCCTGGGACCTTATGGGCTGACATTGTCCATTCTCTAAATCTTCCCCCACCAGCCTGACCCCTTGGTTCCCCCCCACATATGGTTCCCCCACTGACTCCCCCTGCCTGTTGTCCCCTCTCCACCATTCCACTGCTTTTGGTTCCCACAGCACTGTAATTCCCCCGCGGGACATCACCCGTTGTCTTCGATTCCTACAATCCTCCTCTCTGCCCTGCTCGCATGTACCTTCGTAGGCTCCTCGACCCGTGGGGTGAGAAGGGACCGCCAGGGGCACCTAGTCTGACCCCCGACCACGCCGCAGGATTTAAACCATCCAAGACAGATGGCTCCAGCCTCTGCTCGAAACCTTCCTCGAAGGAGCTTCCACGACCTCCCGAGGCCTCGGTTCCATCGTCCTCCTGTTCTTCCCGGCCGGAAGTTTTCCCTGAGATTTAATCTCAATCTGCTGTGCTGTAGTTCGAACCCATGGCCTCTCGTCCTGCCCTCTGGGGCAAGAGAGAACCACCTGTCTCCATCTTTTCTATGGCAGCCTTTGGAGTAGTCGAAGAGCGCTCACATGTCCCCCCCTTAATCTCTTTTCCAAACTGAGCGTTCCCACTTCCTGCAGCCTTTGCTCACGTGGCTGGCGTCCCACCCCTTTGATCGGCTTTGTCGCTCGCCTCTGGATCCTACCCAGTGTCTCCACATCCTTTCTGTGCATTGGTGGCCGAAACTGGACACCCTCCTCCAGCTGCGGCCGAGCAGAGCCGTCCTGTCACCTCCTGGGACCTGCAGCCACGCCTCTGTTAATGCAACCGAAAATTGTACGTGCTTTTTTCTTTTTGCAACAGCATCAGCATCATCGGCGATCCCTTGAGGTTGAGCACGATCTCTTCCACGGGTTTTGTTTTTCGTGGGTCCTTTGGTGACTGAGGAGTCCGATCCTTGAGCCGCAGGCTGCTTGGCAGATGTTGCAGGTTGGGTTGGAAGACAGGGCTGGCACGGGGGGACAGTCGTCTGTCCTTTTCTGGCGTTTTTCTGCGTCCTCAAAACGGACGTTCCCTCTCTGACAAGTCTTCACCAGTTATCCCTACCCTGGGCCACTCTCCCCCAGTGTGTGGTGTCAGTGCCACATCTCTTGACGTTTATCTTGAGGGTGTCGGCCTCTGTGAGGACACTGACATTAGTGCGACGATCTTCCCACTTTATGTTGAGGATCTTCCAGAGAAAGTGCTGGGGCTGGCGTTCCAGGTTTTCAGGTGTTTTCTGTAGGTCACACAAGTCTCTCAGCCATAGAGGAGCGCTGGGATCACCACCGCTTTCTAAACGAAAAGTCTCGTGTGTGTTCTGATGTTGTGAATGTTGAACACCCGGCGAGACAGTCTGCCAAAGGCAAGACTGGCACGGCGAATTCTGGGCTGGATCTCGACGTCTCTGTCTGCCCTCTGTGAGAGATGGCTGCCAAGATAGGCAAAGTCTTCTACTTTTTCCAGTTCTTCTTTGTCGATATAGATCTTCCTCGCTGGGTCTGATGCTTGACCGGGGACTGGCTGGTGGAGAACTTTTGTTTTGCCGATGTTCGGAGTTAGCCTTGGGCTTTTGTAAGTTTCAGAGAAGCAATTTAGGGCGAGATCCTCCTTTGTGTGCGCAACGACAGCACAGTCATCTGCGTCCCGGAGTTCGGTTATTGTTGCCGATATTAGTTCTGGCATGGAGACGAGAAAGGTTGAAGAGGTGGCCGTCAGTCCGATATTGGATGCCAATGCCCTGCGGTAGACGGTCTTGGGTTAATGTTGTCATAGCTGCTAAGAAAACGGAGAAAAGGGTTCGGACGACAAAGGGCTCAGAGGTAGAGCCACTGCACAGGATGGAGGCGGTCATCAGGTTGTGAAGGAGTCTTACAATGGGGATAAATTTGCTTGGGCAGCCAAACTTTGACATGATTTTCCACAGAGCCTCACGGTTGACAGAGTCGAAGGCTTTGGTCAGATTGATTAAAGGCCATATAAAGCTCCTGGTGGTGTTCTTGGCATTTTTCCTGGATCTTCCTGGCTGCGGAAATCATGTTGGTGGTGCCTTGTGATGGTCTGAAGCCACACCGGGACTCTGGAAACAGGCGATTCACTGAGATTCTAGCAAGAATCTTCCCAGCGATGGAGCGGAGGGCAGTGCCTCAGTACTTGCCACAGTCGGCCCTGTCTCCCTTTTTGAAAATGGTGACGGTGTTAGCATTACGTAAGTCAGCGGGGATTTCTTCGGTGCGCCAGCTTTTGAGGAGCAGCAAATGAAGCTTGTGAGTCAGTGTTTCTCCCCTCGCTTTGCGTACTGCAGCTGGTACGCCATCAGGACCTGGTGCTTTATTGGTCTTCATTTGATTAATTGCTTTGCGGATCTCCTCAGGTGTTGGTGGGTTGGCAAGAGTTTCCCAGATTGGGTGCCGAGGGATGGAGTCGCTGGTATCCTCAGTCTCAGTCATTTCTCGATTTAGAAACTTTTGGCCGTGGTCTTTCCAGCGCTCTTTGATGGATCCGTTCTCTTTAAGAAGGGCACTACCATCTTCAGATCTCAGCGGTGCGATGGGGCCACGTGAGCTTGGGCCGTACAGGGTCTTTTTCTCACGCTAAAAGCTCCACATATCATGTCTGCCAGCGAATGTTTGGCTTTCTTTTGCTTTGTCTTCCCACCATTTGGTTTTGATTTCTCAGCTCCTCCTTTGAGCTGATGGAGAGAGCTCTGCTTCTGACTGGACAGTGGTTGGTTTTGCCAGTCGCGGGAAGCTTTTTCTCTTCTGGCCCAAAAGGGCTGTAATCTCAGTGCTGTTGTCAAACCAGTCCTGATGGCGGCAGGTAGCAACGCCGATGGATTCCTCGCAAGCCTCGCGGATGGTCTGTTTTAGGGCTTCCCAGTCTTCCTCGACACTTGTGTTGTCATTTCCAGGTGTGCATAGGGCCAGTTTTTCACCGAGGAGCGTTTGAAGGTCTCTCGGTGCGCTGAGGATTGAAGTCTTTGGATGTTGTGTTGCCGTCTGTGTGGTTTGGATTGCTTTCTATGATTCGGTGCAATCCTGAGCGACATGACTGACCTCTCCAGGCAGGGGTCAGTCCGGCAAGCATCGGCTCCTCTCGTGACACGGGTGATTTGGACATCTCTTCGCTCCTGTGTTCTTACAACGACCTAGTCTAGGAGGTGCCACTGCTTTGAGCGGGGGTGTTGCCAAGTTGTTTTCTACTTGTTGCTTTGTCTGAAGACAAGTTTGTGATCACAAGGTTGTGCTCTGCACATTGACCGAGCAGAAGGATGCCGTTGGAAGTGGTCTTGTCCACTCCTTCCTTCCCAGCGGTGCTACTCCATACGTTAGAATCTTGGCCAACTCTTGCGTTCAAGTCCCCTAAGAGGATTAACTTCTCTGTTTTGGGGAGTGGATGCAGAAGGTCATAAGCCGCTCGTTGATGCTGACGGGGAGCTCAGTGAGGCGGTTGACTAGAAGGTTCTTGAGTGCAAAGCCAACAGCGTGTATTGGCCTGTCGCGTGCTGGTTTTCCTTTCCAGAAGAAGGCCACTGGAGGGCGGCAGTTATCCTCTGATGGGCAGGCCGTGTCTTGCCGAGAGCAACGATGTCGCTGTTGAACCTCGGGCGACAATCGCTGCTCTGCCTTTTGGGGCTTTCGCTTTTGGATCCGTCCAGCAGGGCACGGGCGGGCCGAGTTGCAAAAAACATTTTTTGGTTTTCGACCGCGTAGGGCGCGATCCCCCTGGAGCCGGTTCTCCAGTCAGGTATGGTGGGATAGCCTGTGTTTGGGGCACCCCTTCCCCGTCTGGGGTGAGCAGAGGGGTTCCTAAAAAGCCCTGCTCCGTCATGCCCGCTGCTGCCGAAAATGCCCCCCTGTCCCAGTCCAGGGGAAGACTGTTATACTTATAAGAAGCACATGGGATCTTTTTCAGGGAAAAAGGCAATACGCTGCTTTTATTGGAAACACAACAATTAGCATATACATTTAAACACACACACACACACACACACTCTCTCTCTCTCTGTCTCTCTCTCTGTCTGTCTGTCCGACTCGATGTTCTAGTTACAGTCCAGAGTCCGGATCAATCTAGTGGCCAGCTGGTTGATCACGGGTAGGGAGGAGCCGGGTTCTGTCGGTCGAGACGCGATGCTCCGGGGAAGTCTTGGCAGGACGAACCCAAAGTTTCATGGCAAGGCCCCCTGTTTATATAGTGATTCTCCTTCATTGGGACCAATGAGTTTTGCACTGTCCTGCTGTAATCAATCGCCGTTTGACGAGTGCTTAAATTGTTCTTCTCATCCTTTATCTTGTTCCTTCATCAGTCTCTCGGGGAGTTACCCTAGGCTGGTTTTGATCACAGCTATCTTGTCTCCATCGATAGGTGCCTGCCTCATCCTTAGAGTCGTCAATCTGCCCTCCTCTGACATCTCAAGAGGGGCACGTTGCAGCCTCCTGGTGCCTTTACGTCTGTTCTTGGTTCCTCCCTAGAACATCTGGTCCAGCGATGGCCTTCACACTTCTCTTCTAACACGCACGTTCCTCGTTCACACACACAACAGGATTGATTTACGCAGAGCAGTTGAACAGGAACATCCAATAACAATGCAGGAGAAAACAATCGTCACCTTCTTTTACTTATTTCAAAACGCTAATTTTAAACCTACAACAAAAGGGTGACCCTAAAGGTCCATTACTGCCTTGAAATCAGCTTCAGACACAAGATTCTGGCTGAAGCCTCTTTACCAATGGCACACGAGGCCGTTCCTTCCTGCTTTCAGAAAGGATGGCTGGCAGGATATGATCAAATCATACAGCAGTACATTTAATACATGCTGCATTATTCTTTATCCTTCATTCTAAGTTATACCAAATACAAACGTAAAATCCCAGTACTACAACACGACGACCGTCTTGTGGTCACCGCCTGCGTGTGGCTCTGCGGCTAGGGCCTCCGGGCGCTCATGTCACCTGTCTCCGTCGCCACTGCCCATCGCCGCAGGGCTTTTACGGGGGGGGGGAATTATTCCTGGGAAAGAAGCCTGCGCATGAGTTATTAAGGGGGGGAGCTGTTCTGCACCAGCAGCCGCACAGATCTTGGCGGGAGAGGCTCCGGAGTCCAGGAGGTCCAAGACGAGCGGGGCAGCCCTTCGTCCCCCTTCGCAGCCGTCGAGAGGCGATCCTGCTTCAGTCCGCCTCTACTGCCCTGGAGGCCTTCCACCAGGTTGTGTTTGCAACAGCGTCGCGTTGCTGACTCATGTCAAGGTTGTGATCCACCACAACTCACAGCTCCTTCGCAGCCGGGCTGCTGCCCGGCCAGTTTTCCTCCAGTCTGTAATTGTGCGTTTGGTTTTTCCACCATCCATGGGCCTCCGTTGAAACGCATAGTGTTGGCGATAGCCCCGTTCTCCGATTTATCAAGATCCCTCTGATGTTGAGCTCTGTCCAAAGGCTTGGCAACGCCCCCCTCGCTTTGTGCCATCTGTAAACTGGATCCGTTTGCTCTCTCTCTGCCCACATCCTGGTAGTTAATAAAGATGTAAAACATCCCCGAACCCAGAACAGATGCCTGTGGAACCCCACGTGCGACCTCCCTCCGATCCGCCATCATTCAGACAATTTCCAAAGGGCTCCTGGGTTCTCTCCCCGGCTCTGGGAGGGGAGTGGGGTCTAGTGGTTAGAGCAGGGGGCGCTGGGAGCCAGGACTCCTGGGTTCTCTCCCTGGCTCTGAGAAGCAGGATTGAACGCACATGTATGTGCCTCAGTTTCCCCCTCTGAACAATTGGGCGATGCTGTCTAGGTTGTCCTAGGGGCATGGAGCCCCCCCCCCCCCCCAGCTGGTAGCAGCTGCAGCCTCTCACCTGGGCACCGTGTCTCCCCTCCCCAGAGCCACCCGCCTCTTCTGTGACGTCTACAACCCTCAGAGCAAGACCTACTGCAAGCGGCTGCAGGTGCTGTGTCCCGAGCACTCCCGCGACCCCAAGGTGAGGGGCACTGGCTATGGCTGGGGGGCAGGGGTGGGGGGCTGCGGGTTGGGAGCGAGGGCCAGCGTGTGTGCGAACCCTGTGGTGCCCCCTCCAGGTGTCGGTGGACGAGGTGTGCGGCTGCCCCCTGGTAAAGGACGTGTTTGAGCTCACCGGCGATTTCTGCCGCGTGCCCAAGAGGAAATGCAACCGGCACTACTGCTGGGAGAAACTGCGCCGGGCCGAGGTGGACCTGGAGAGAGTGCGCGTGGTACGGAGCGGGGCTGGCGCTAGGGGGCGCTCTCCCCTGGCAGTCAGGGCCGGGCGCTGCGGGAGGCTGGGCAGGGAGCCCTCCCCTGATAGTGAGGCCCAGGCACTAAAATCTAGGCATGATCCCAAGTGGTTTTTATTCCTTCTGACTGAAGAAATTCCTGCCCCCTCATCCCTCCCACACTTCTATTAAGTAGGGAGCTCCCCTTTTCCTGACCCACTCTCTGTCTGTTGTCGCTGTGCGTCTGTTCCTCAGCTGCCCCGCCCCAGAGCTAGCTGCATCTCCCCGCCGGGTGAGCTGTCCCCATCGGCGTTATGTGCAGCTCTTCCCCAGCTGCCCCACCCCAGAGCTAGCTGCATCTCAGCGCTGGCCGAGCTGTCCCCATCGATTTTATGTGCGGCTGTTCCCCAGCTGCCCCGCCCCAGAGCTAGCTGCATCTCCGCGCCGGCTGAGCTGTCCCCAGCGGCGTTATGTGCGGCTGTTCCCCAGCTGCCCCACCCCAGAGGTGGCCGCGTGTAATGGCTCCTCCTGCTGTTGGCAGTGGTACAAGCTGGACGAGCTGTTTGAGCAGGAGCGGAACGTGCGCATGGCCATGACCAACCGGGCCGGGCTGCTGGCGCTGATGCTGCACCAGACCATCCAGCACGACCCGCTGACCACAGACCTGCGCACCACCACTGACCGCTGAGCCCGGTGAGCAGCTGGGGGCCGGGGCCTTCCCTCACGGGGGAGCCGGCTCCCCTCCAGGCTGGCTCGGGGGGGGCTGGGTTCCAGGGCCTCCCCTAACGACTCTTTCTCTCTCCCAGGGTCGGCGCCAGGCTCAGTGG